ATTGCTTTCCTTCGAAAGAACCATTAGGAAGCTCTTTAATGATAGATTTGAGATCAAGAATATAGAATCCCAAAAGTTTATCTTTAAAGAAAGCATTATAGTCATAAACTTGTAAATTGAATTTTTCATTTACATCATAAACAGGAATATAAAACACTTGTTCCCAAACGGGATTGCAGTTGTTGTAGATGACACGTGAATCACCATACACCCAACTAGTGACAATGTTTGATATTCTAACATATGGGTCGGAAGCACTACCACCAAACCATGAATCGACCTGCTTAAGATTTTTAGCGCAAATAATTTCGATACGTGCGATACCATGAGGTTTTCGAACTTTATAAAAAAATTTAAAAAAATAAGTATTACTGGCATTAATTAAAATAAAAAAGGAAAAAAGAAATTTTTTTATTACCGATTCCTCGGCTTTTTTGTAGATATTCATCAGCACAATCCAATAATTCTTTTTCAGCATTAGCATCACCAATTTGTTTAGAAAGATAATCACGAGCTTTATTATATTTGTCCACCCAATCACCTTCATATTTATCCGCTGCATTTTTTAGATATGAAATGTTAACAGCAGTTGCAAGACTTGATGAAAGGTCGAGTAACTTGAGTTTCGGATTGGTAATTTTCTCTTTAATTGTATCAATAATTTCTTCTTTAGAGGCATGCAACTCCTTACATACTGAATCATAAATTTCAATGCTGCCATCATCTTTTTGTTTAGATGAAATTTCTTTATGTTGCTCGGGAGAAGCTGATTCTTGAATAACAGTAATTACAGCTTCTTTCTCGTTATCTTTTTCAATCTTTTTAGGTGCAATTTGAGTTTGTGATCGATGAACATCAGGTGATTCAATATAAATATTTTCTTCATGAACAGTAGTAGTTGTTTCAACTTCAGGAACAAAAATATGTTCTCTTCTGGTATGAGTAACTCCATGTTCATCTATATATTGCGTGATTCTAGTTTCAAAACGTCCTTCGATTTCTGGTGAGTCTGTAATTTGATTGTCAGTGTATTTTCCTATTGGTTTTTCAACATCACTGCTAAGGTCACTTCTATGCGCTTTCATTTCAATAGGTACACGTGATGTTGTTCCATTCTTTCCGTTCTTTGATATAGCCATTAATGCTGCTTTATGACTTTCGCCGGTGAATTTTCCTATTGGTCTATCAACATCATCACTAAGATTATGTAAACGCGTTTCACCAGGTGAAATTGGTGATCTTCCATTCTTTCCGTTCTTATCAGTAGTACCACTTCCAATATCAACAAGTAGAGCCGGTGGCTCTTCTCGTCTCCTAAGCGTACAAGGTGCTGTGTATAAATAAAGGTTGAGTTTTAAGCTAAAACATTGATTAAGAGTATAGTATATATATAAAAAAAAAAACAAAAAAAAACTTACCTTTAGGGGGATATTCATCATCAGCATCGGCATCAGCATCTTCAATTTGCTTAGAAAAGTATCCACGAACTTTATTATATTTGTCTTTCCATTTACGTCTATATTTAGACACAGCAATTTTCAGATATGAAGGGTTACTAGCAGTTGCAAGACTTGATGAGAAGTCGGGCGATTGAATCTTCTTATGATCTTTTTCAACTTTTTTAGTAATATTATCAACGAGATATATATCAGTGCAATCAGCTTTTTTCTTATGATCTTTTTCAACCTTTTTATAAACGTTATCAATAATATATTTATCTTCAGTAGCAGGTTCTTTATCATGTTTATCTTCCCATTGTTTTTTATGATGTGGTGCAGCAATATTAAGGTAGCTAGTAGTGAGTGCTGTTTTCCACCATGGTTCTGATTTTTTCACTTCAGTCACCACGTTGGTAACTGGAACGTCTATTTCTTTACAAATTGTTTCGCTAACTTCAAAAGATCCATCATCATTTTGATTAGACACTACGTCATCACATTTTTCTGGTGTGGTAGACTCTTGCACCGTAGCGACTGCATTTCTCTTTTTATCTTTAATCACCTTCT